AGCTCGGCAATAAACTAAAAAACCTATTATTACCCTCATTGCGTTGGGGACCAACTGTGTCAACCCTATGTTATAATCTAACAGTAAACCTATTAGCAACTCAGGAAGTGGAAACCTGAGTCCCGCTATCAAATAGTGGGAATACACAGGTATCCAGTGATCCCGAGGAGCAGAGCACGCCCTCTCCTCTACCCCAGCTGGCCTAACTAATACCCGAGAAGAGATCTCGTACGTTTCTACTAAGTGACACAGGTCATCCCTAGTCCTTAGTTCAGATCGGTACTGCTTCACTTCCTCCACTATCTCTGCATTTCTATCATAACCTCTCTCCCCATTACCTTCTACTTCTACTACGGTGATGGGTATGCTATCTACCCCAACCCCCATCACCTCATTCCTCCCAACCTCTGCCACCTCACCTCCCTCAACCTCCACCACCTCATCTCCTCTCACCCCCTCCACTGTTTCCTCCGAACTAGTTGGAGATGGACTACTCTCTGTGTCCATCCTCCCATAGTCCAGAGGCTCCACCTCACTCCCTACTATACTTTGTGTTCTTTCTGACGACATTTTCTCAAAACTCTGCACGAAGTAGGGGGGAGGAATAAGTCAGGATCTTTTAAAAAAAAAAAAAAAAAACCCTCTCTGCTGCACATTCAAAATCCTTCTCACCCCTAACCCTAACTTCCTTCAAAGAACTCTAAATCAATCACAGAAAGGGAGAAAGAAGAGAAACACTTCGATTTACTCAAAATCAGAAGCTTAGGTACAGTACCTGATTTCGGTTTCGAAAGATTTGATGTAGAGATCCCCAGTTGTTACCGTAGTTCACGAACAGAAAATGCACAATGGAGCTTCTCGCAGAAATTTTGCAGGAAAAGAAATGCAAGTAAACTTTTTTCTGCAGAAAAAAATGCCTATTTATACCCCTGGGCAAAATTAGATCTCAATGGCTGAGATTCATTTAATCTTACAGTTCCTATTCACACCGTTTGGAATTCGACGAACAACCTCAAACGGTACCGTTTTGAATTAGACGGTTCGTTTTTTAATTTTTTGCTCGTTTAACTGTTGCAGTTATCTTTTTACGGTCGCATTTATTGCGCATGTCATTCCAAGGACAACTGTCACACCTATGTCAGTATTACACGGGCCCACCTACGCCCAACTCAACACCTTTGTTCACTTTTGCATATTCTCAATTGTACAAAGTGTTTCACCTCGGCTTCAACCACAATAATACTGCATTACATTTCACATCGGCTTCGGCCACAGTAATTCAATATCACATATTTTATTTCGGCTACGGCCATTATGACCTCAGTCATTATATTTTATTAAGGCCCTGGCCAATTTTACTTCTGTCTTTATACTTGAGCCTAGCTCAGCACTTCTGTTTACTTATACAATTATAATTGTTAACTGCTTTACTTCGGCTCCAACCACAGAGAACACATGTTTTACGTCGGTCCTGGTTATTGTGACCACGTCACATACTCTACCTCGGCTCCGGCCATTATGACTCTGGTCATCACATTTCATTACCGCTCCGGCCATTATGACTCCGGTCATCACATTTCATTACGGCTCCGGCCATTATGACTCCGGTCATCATATTTTATTACGGCTCCGGCCATTATGACTCCGGTCATCATATTTTATTACGGCTCCTGCGATTATGACTCCGGTCATCATATTTTATTATGGCTCCGGCCATCATGACTCCGGTGATCATATTTTATTATGGCTCCGGCCATTATGACTCCGGTCATCATTTTCCATCACGGCCCTGGCTTTTATAATCCCAGTCATCATTTTTTATCATGACCTTGACTACATTATGACTCCGGTCATTATTTTTACCATGACTACGGCCATGGTCACTCTGATTATACTTTATTTAAGGCACCCCAATATGACCCATTGTTACATCTTTCATTTTTAGCTACGGCTATGTTTAAATTTAAGTTACAGCTTTCTCCCTTATATTTCTATAACTTATCTGTATTCTCTTTGTTCATACACTCTCCTCACTATTCCCAACAACATCATTCACAAGTGAATGACTTCGGGGGGGAATAGTGTAAGGACAGGGCCGAGGTGCCAAGCCTCGGACTGCTACAGTAATTCCTTTATGACCGAAGTGAGGAATAAACCCAAAGCTTCCCGCTCAAATAGCTGCATGACAATGACAATAAGCATGCCCGCACCTGATTCCTTATGATGAGCGGCACAGCAAGTATGGTGGACACCCGTGCATTTGAATACCTCTCAAATTCCCGGTCCCGGAATAATCGTCTGGATAGACACGTCAAACTCCGATTATCTTGCTTGGCATGCCACGTGGGTTCCTCATTGGATCCTATAAATACCCCCCCAGGCCACGTCAAAAAGGTGATTGAAACTTACCTTAAGCTCCTTTTATCTCCGCTCTAAAGGTAACCCCGATTATTGCTGACTTAAGTATCGGAGTGTCTACCCCAAGGTCCGCCTTGGGTCTTTGCAGGTCGTTCCGAAGTGCAGTTGCGGACTAAAGAAGGACTTCTGGTTTGTTGCAATTACAGGTAGAGGTGGGAAGGAAGCATGCTTTGCTTGCGCTGCATTTCTATATTTATTTTTTTTCTTTACTTTATCTTTTGTTTTTCTGGATCTGTGTCTGAATTGTGAAGGGGTACAGGAATGAGGAATCTTGTCCGTTCGAATCGGACGGTAATAAATGTAATGCTGGAGTGGTTGCGGCGGTTTTTGTTTTTTCATTTCATCACGGGTATTTGTCTTGCGTGCGCGCCGCTGGGAAAATAGATAGTGATAGTGCGGCGGATAGAAAGAAATTCAGCATTACGCCCTCTTTATAATTATAAAATGCGA